CACCAACAACACCACATCCCAGACCACCACCATCACCACCAGTCTCGGCCATCAGCCGACAACGCCCATGACCCCAATACAGATGACCCCACCGCCTCTGACCCCACACCATCCCCACCACCCGCATCTCCCTCCTCTAATGCACCATCCGCATCATCACGCAACCTCCGTCCCGGCGGCGGCGGCCCACCATCCGCACGCGGGGATGAGCATGCACTGAGCCCGGTGGGGCCCGGAGCCGGTACATGCAGTTCCGCTGCCGCAACGGCCCTGGGCTCCCCCCTATCCTACCCCCTCAACCTGAACCTCGTGCAGAACCACGCTGCCGCCCACCAGACCATTGCTCACCACCCCAACACCAACCCTACCACCCATCACCAGCAACACCAGAACCACCACCATCACCATCACCATCACCATCATCACCACCAACAACAACAGCAACACCAACAACAGCACTCGCGTCAAAGCAATTCCTATTCCGTGCAACAACAGAATCCTGGCACGCCGGGGACCGCGCAGACTCCCTCACCCTCGTCCCCTGCGCCTGTACATAGTCTCTAGGCTGACGCTTCGCCTCTGCCCTCCCGATCTTCTCTCTGTCTCTTCCCCGAGGCAGCGATCGTTTAGAAACCAAGAAAATATAGAAAAAGACAAAAAAAGGAAATCTAATCTTCGAACGCTTCTCTCGAGAATATTCGAATCTTTGTACAGCCTATGATCGTTGCCCGTCCTACTTCTCTCTCTCTCTCTCTCTCTCTCTCTCTCTCTCTCTCTCTCTTTCTCCCCCTCTCTTTTGTCGGCAGGTCGAGCCTCCTCCGATGCTACCGACTCTTTGTTACTTGTAAATACTTATACATAGCGCGTGAGAAAGATATTATATTAATTATGCGGTGTAATGTTAAGCGGTGTAAAAAAAATTCTATATAAATGCACTGTCGCGCTGTACCATACACTGGGAGACACGTACGTAGACGTATAAAAAAAAAAAAAAAAGAATCACCCACATACACACAGGAACACACACATACACACACTGAAACACACACGTAAGAAAAGCATATAGGAGAAGAAAAGGAAAACGAAGATGCGCGCGTTAATCGTATCGTTCTCTCGCGTTCGTCCTTTTTGCGACCAGGAACCGACTCAGCCGAACGAAGACGCGTGTACGACGTCGCTCTTGCGACTCGTACGCAGCATCCCCCATAGATTTTTCTCTCTCTCTCCGAGCAGGTTCCAAACGAATCCCGTCGAACGACGAGAACGACGTCGCGCGGTTTCGATTATTTCCCCCGTCTAGCGTGTGTGCATTGCGTTTGGAACTTGGACCTCGGACCAGACGACTCCCTTCGACGACCTTGACGATATCACGATATTATGGATTATTATAAAGATTATAAAATTCATTTTAAGAGAGATAAAGAGAAAAATAAACGATGCTTTTTGTGAGTAAAGATTTGCCTGGATGATTCTCCGTTCGTGATCGTGTTCTCCACTAAACGTCTATCATCCCCTAGCTCTGCCCTTGTTCCTGCTGCTGCGACACCTCGGAGGCGACACACACCATCCCTGGAAGACGGTTCCAGATCGCTTCCCTCCGCCCCCGAAACACACTGGATTCGACCGCAATTGCTACCGATGTAAGTTCTCATCCAGTTAACGTCGCCTACCTCAATCTCCTACGATTATTATTCCCTCTCCCGTGCAATTTTCCCTGGCTTACGCGGCGAAAAAAAATCATCTCTCTCAGGACTTTGTTGCACGCGCGTTCAAATTTACCTTAACCAGCATCTTCACCCTTTGTCGGTCTCTGCACGCGGAATCGTTCGTTCCCCACCCTCGACGATCTTCTTACCTTGATTAACCCGAAAAGGGTTTTTATCTACTCTCCCCTCGATATATTCCTGTTGGCCTATTTCTGCCGGGCCCGAGCACTCGACGTTATTACCGAGGATGACTCGGCGCTCGTTCTCGGCCCTGTGCCCTGCCTCGCCTTCGCCTTCGCCTTCGCCTTCGCCTTCGCCTCCTTTGCCTTCGCCTTCGCTAATGCCTAAATAATGACGTATGTATACGCGACATGCAACTTTATAAGCTTCGATAAATTTAATTACCATCGGTCTTCCCCCTTCTCCTCCCTTACCTGCTCCGGCTATGCGCGTAATTTCCTTTTAATCGCGTGTCATTAAAGGAGGATGCGTGCTGTTCCGTTCGATCGAACTATTTCTACAGGGAGGCTGTGCGATAAAAAGCCTCTCTCGGTTCGTCGTGAAAAGACCGTGGTAATTAGACGGGAGATGCTCGAGCGCGGAGAAAATTGAAAGGTCCGACAAGGACGGACCGTAACGGAACCATAAACGATCCCTGTTCGCGGTACAACTTCCTCTAAATCGGATCAATATGCCAGAGATTACGAAATAAGACGGTTATGCAAAACAGCCGACGGAGGGTCCGTGAAACGTCGCGATCCGCGGGGGGTGCGGTTAATGTCGAGCAGCCTGCATGCCCGGGGGATGGCTTTTTCGGTGATTTAACCAACGAGGGTGAACGTTTGTTATTCAATTTGCCAATCCCCTCGGCACCAGCCACCGCTCTCTCCCTCCGGCCACAGATCATCGCGCCTTTTACGATCGTCACCGCCGTACCTAGTTCTCAGATACCATCGCCGTTTCTTTATCATCTTCCCTCCTGTACTTCCCGACGCCAGCTTTCCCGTGCCTTTCCATTAAGGATTCCTCTGCGCCGCATAAACCAGATGAACAGGAATCCAGGCTAAAGCGACCTCCAGCGAACGGAGAAACTCGCACGAACCGGGACACCGTTCGAAAAGATAAGTTGAAAAAGTACATGTAACGTAATTGATATAATTTCGTGCTTTCGACTCAGCTGGATTTTTTCTGTTACAGAAAACCGGAGTAGAGCAGGCTGTTACCTCGAGGATCGTTCCCGTACGCGAGAACAAGAGAAGAAAAATGTTTCGTTTTATCAATTATATTTATCATCGAGAAGAATCGTTACATTATAAAATTAATCGACGAACCAACGTATTTTTATTCTCGATCCCCTTCAACGCTATCTCTTCCATCCTCCTTCTCGAACTTGCCGAATAAAGAAGAAAAAGTAGAAAGATAATTGCGCAAGACTTCCTATAGGCGAATCGAACTTCGGAAAGAGTAAGAACGCTAATTGATCGGACAAATTGAACTTTATCGAGAGAACGAGGAGACGCGAGAAAAATTGAACCACGCTGCTTTGAAATTTCACACCCCGTTTCTGACGTCTCCGACAGCCGGTTGGGAGAAAAGGCCGAAAGGCCGAAAGGCCTGGCAATAAGTATCTCTGGCAGCCCTTCGAGAACACCACGGTTTCGTATTTACAAAAGCTCGCCCGCCTTTTCTTCCATTTTCCTTCTCGGAGACCGAACCAACGTATCTTTCTCCACTCGTCGCGACGAACATCTCGAGATCTAATTAACTCGCTCACCAACCGAATCGCGACGATAGAAGAAAGAATAAAGTATCAGTCGTGTTGGTTCCATCCTCGTTATCGATCAACTGCACGAGCATTTGCCGCGAATCTGTAGGACGAAACGGAAATCCCGACCGGTAATCTCGATGGCGCGTAACGAGCGTACAGATTAGGCTGTCGTTGGATCCTGATCCGCGACTCAACGACGTACCTAATAAAGGAGGCTAACGAGACCGGGGCATGTGGTTAACGACAATCTATCCAGGCCACCGAACGAGACACATGCGTGAAGAACACACACGTGCAGCTCGTAAGGTACACGAGTCTTGTTACCAAAGCCCCGCAGCCTCGAGAAGGACCTTCTCCCAGCTAAAAGGCTTCGTATCTTTTCAACTTCCTAAGCACCACGCTCCGACAGATTATCACGCGGTTCTATGTAGCTCGGAGCTCTCGAGTGGAGATCGCCCTTGACAATTCGTAGCGTCCCTGCGCGTAAATTATCGGTAAATTAGCGGTGGCGGTTTGGAAACTGGATACCCGAGAGTCGTAGAAAATTCGGAGACAACCGATCGATTACGTGTTTCGTTCTAACGAACTCCGGTCAGAGACACAAGCCTGTAACGCTAAACCGATTGCGTTACCCGTCCGATTCGAGCTAATTGCTCGTCGTTAAAGGTCATTAAAGTATCTGGTTGACTTCATACGACACTCTCGTAGGGAGTGACGCCGCGATATTCTTCCTGGCTGCTCGGCGAAATCAACATCGACCGACGATAACTTCGTTACCGGAGTTTACCCCGATTGAAACGGGTCGGTGAAACTAATTAGGTAGCAGCCGGTGCCGATTCACGATCGAATTATTCCAGATGATCCCCAGCCACGCTATTCATCTTTCGACGATCGCATTCCACGCGAGGGATTTGGTTAACCAACTGCCCATCTATCCCCCGAACGAATTCGAGGTGGAAAAGCCTTTCTCGTCTTTCCAACTATGTTTAGAACGGCGAATAACGCCGCTGCCACAGGGCTGCGGTGTGACGGGACGCGTTCAAATCGCTACATCATATTTCTGTAACTCGGACCGGCCTGTCGGCTGTCAACTCTCGAGGTTCAACATCAAAAAGGCCCTGACGCGAGTAAATCATCGTATGGATCTTGGAAGATAATTTATCAGGCGAAATAAGAGGAAGAAAAGGTTAGAAAACAATGAGAAGAGGATATTATTTGAAGTTTGGGAGGAGGAGGGCGAAAGAGGTTGTTGGTCCGATATAGCTGCGAGCGTGGCGGATCGTGGGATGACTGTCAGAAATCAATTCAATTCCATCGTATATCTAATTCAATAATCTCAAGGGGACGTGTGGGCGAGGAGGCGAGGAGGCGAGGAACGGAGAGAATGTAAATGCGATAAACGAAGCCCGAGAGGAGGAGGAGGAGGAGGAGGAGGACGGTGGACGTAAGAAAGAGCGGAGGAACAAAGGGCACCGCGACTTCCGGTTGACTCGCATCGTCGGCTCGTCGCTCATAAATCCTTGGAACGAACGAAACCGACTGGCTGCGACGCGCTCGCTCACCGATCTGACAAATGATCCGTCGAGGGGAAGTCGATTAACACCTCGTACGCGAGCATGTTCTCCACGACTTGCAAACGATTTCGTCGCGAGCGATTTCGATCGGGGATCGTTTGTCTCTTGCTGCAACAGGCTTATACGCGCTCCGCTCTGCCGACACCCGGTTTAAAGAAATTTCCGACTACATATTTGTACACGGTGTATCCGAGCTGCGGTTCCAAAGATTACGCCATCGATCAGAGGAGAACCTCCTAAAAGTGACTGCAGCTGGAAAATTATACATTTTTACGGTAGCAGGGCAGAGAGCTATCCGCCGATAATTTCATGGCACATCGAGTAGGTATGTCGAGAATGGATGGAAATTAGTCGAGATGGCCGTCGAGTTCCGGAGTTAATTGATACGTCTGCGCCCGGAGCGGCGGCAGAGAGAGAGAGAGGAAGAGCG